CTCCATGTTGGGGACAGAAGTGTCTCCTGTTGTCTCCATGTTGGGGACAGAAGTGTCTCCTGTTGTCTCCATGTTGGGGACAGAAGTGTCTCCTGAAAGACAAAGAAACTATTCAGTTCAAAGGAAATGTCTCATGTGTGACTGGTTGATAAGAAGCTGCTGAATAAACACTACATTCATTTTCTAATATGATTGAACCAGTTCAGTGTGAAGTTGTGTTATCAACATTATATTATGTAATACTGCATGATATTGTCACTTCTAGTATATGAAACATATTATATTTGACATTATATTATATTGGATGATGAAGACGTGAAGACAGTTTGTGGTGATGAGAGCTCACGACGGTGTCAGGTGATGTAAACATGATCACATGATCACTTCCTGTCTGTCTGCTCCACCTCTCACCTGAAGAACGAGGAGGATCTGATGCTGAACGAGTCTGAGCAGAAAACCTGCTGCTGAGTTGTTCAGCTGTGAAACATGAACTCTGGAGACGAGTCTCTGGAGACGACCTGGAGCTCATGTGTGAACACGAAAATTCAAAGAACTGTTTATAGGATTTTTAAATGTGTTAAAATCGAACTAAAGTCAACACTGAACTTTCCCTGAGACGTAAACAAGTGTGAAGCTGAACAGAGACAGACACACAGACAGGAGAGACAGATGGACATGTCCTCTCCACAGTTTCACAGGCATGTCTCTTGGGAAAATTATTTTTGGGGCTTTGTTGTGAAAACTAAGTTTCAATCTTGGTCCAAAAAATTCAGTCGAATGAAAAACAGGAGAAGTTAACTTAAAAAACAAAAGAGTTTTATTGTCGACAAGAAAACCAGAGAGCATTCAGTAGTGAGCCAGAGAAGAACTCTGCTTGACAGTGGTGTGATGCTGTCTTATAAACCCTTAGAGGCCACACCTGTCAGCATTTCATTGGTCTATCATTACATCGTGGCCTAAGCCCATTGGTTACTTTGGCTAGCCTTTGGGGCTTCCAACTGGAAGTTTTCTGTTTTCCCCAGACATGTCCAGGCATGTTTCTTTTACTTTTAAACAGTTTTGATTATTCTTGATACCATTATCTTTTGTTCAATCAGTTTAATATTTTTTTTAAAGATATTTTGATTACTTTTGACACCATTATGTTTCAGTTTTGTCAGATTGCCTTTTTTAAAAAGATCATTATTTCTTCACACAAGTTATACATACACATCATACTGTTTGACACACAGAGTATATTGTCCGATTCGTAATTATCCTGTTAAAGTTGTTGTAATCATTAGCAAATTATGTTTCAACACACTTTACACTTTAGTGCAGATTAAAGGTATATAGTGACATTCATACGTGAAATAGTATAGTGACCAAAAATTATACTACAGCTTAAGTTTTTTTTTAATAGCACGAGTGACCACTTGTGTGAAGGGTGATCAGCGGGTGTGTGTGTGTGTGTGTGTGTGTGTGTGTGTGTGTGTGTTTATTCATCTGCATTGTTCATGTTGTAAAATTCATTGTGTTTAATGTCCAGCTGTAAATAAATGTTAATCTTGTTGTTTAATAACTGATGTAATTAATTATATGAACTGATGGTGTATAAATCAAGTTCTGATTCTAACTGAAGACATTCAGTGTAACTCAGCTTGTTTCTTTTTTAAACGAATTCCTCTTCTGTGCACCGTGTTAGTTTTACACATGGTTACACTTCATTCCAATTCCACATTTCAGTGTTTATTGTTTTATTATTATTGTTTATTCAATATTTACCAGCACCACAGGTTTGAGAGTCTCGCAATTTCAATCCTACATACATCTGCAGAACTGACAATCAAGCAAACTCTGAACTTTGAAGCAGAAACAGAGACAGCTCCTCTTCAGAGTAAAAGTTTCTGCTGCATCAGTGGATAGAAGAATCTGAAGTAAATTAAATACACATGTCGCCTAAATAATGACAATAAAATAACTGGTTATACAGTTCTACAGACTGTTGAGGAATGTTTGACCATCCTCACACATCACATGTTTACGTCTGATTCCACAGATCCTCCCTTCTCTCTCTGAGCAGTACCAAGGTCAGTTTATAAAGGACCAACAGAACATTGTGTCTACGCTCACAGAGTTTCATATCTACCTCAGACGCTCCAGACAGAGAAGAAACAACTTCTACTCTGTTGTGTATTTCACCAGAGACAACATGTGAGGACACAATGTGATTTAGTTATATATACTTCAGACTTAACTGTCCAATAGGATGTGAACACCTACATGTTGCATAGAGAGTGACAGAAATCTAGCCATTCATGGATGTGCTGTAAGAATGGGTGGGGGAGACATCTTGAGACTTGGGGGGGGGGTTACTCATGGTTCTCTGTTACGTTTGTATATTGTTCCACCTGCTGGTCTCTTTGATGCATCAAGTCTACATTCAAATCTGCTGCTGAGACATCAGCTGCTGCTGAGTTCTCCTTCCACCAACCACCAGAAAACCTCCCTGACACTGCTCATAGTTTTATTTAACTTACTGTGAGTGGCGGTGGTGCTCTGAAGCTGTCTCTGTTTCGGCCACTAGATTTCTATTTCCAGTTTTTATTTGAGTTAAAGTCGGAAAAAGAAACAAGTTGAGCTACACTGAACATTTAAATCGACGACAGCAGTCTTCAAACAATAACATCTGGATACGAAACACAGTGAAAATAACGTTATTTAATTACAAGCTGAAGAAATGTAGATGAATTAAACTTCACACACACACACACACACACACACACACACACAC